GTATACGGTTTTGACAATGAGGTCAATTATTAATTAACATTTGAATATCTAATAAATTCATTTTGAAAAAAAAAAATTTAATACAGTACATAACATTGTATTAAAGCGTAAGAATAAATTGTTTGATAAGTGAACCAATATTTTAGAATACATTTAAATTTAATGTTGAAAAATTTATATTCGTGTATTAATAATTATTATTAGGAATAATAATTTATGTAGTAGAATAATAGAAAATTATCATTTTCGAAAAGGAAAAAAAAAATTATTTGTAGTGAATATATTTCAATTTTTTTTTCTCTCTATTTACGTCACAATGTACGATTATTTGTCATTAGAAAAACTTGCAGAATTTCAAATAATAATAAAAAAAAAAAAATTAAAAATTTCAAACTGGAATTTAACTTATTGATTTCATGAATAAATTTAATTTACTAATGGAACACTATAAATTAGAAATTTAATGCGATTTACGAATTTAATGAGAGGAAATTAATATTTATAGATTTCATGTCTTTGAACTTGTAAAAGAATTATAAAGATAACATTAGTCTTTTATGTTTTTAGTATTTTACTGAGGAAAAAGAGAAAAATATTTGAAATTTTTTTTTGAAAATTATTACATAATTGCCAATAGTAGTTATCTGTTTGTGATCTCAAAAATAATTATAAATTAAATTCAATTGCAAACAGAGAGAACAATAATTATAAAGCTATATAACAGTGTAAAATGTTGTATCAACATGGAAACTTCCAATGGAAAATGGCATCACTCAAAGAACAAAAGATTGATTCATTGTAATCGATTTTGTAAGGATTTGACAGTTACTTTTCTAACAGGAAATTTCCGATTCGCAAATGGTTGAAATCAATGAGATTTAAAGTGTTTTTTATTTATTAGAAGGGGGAGAAAAAAATTCTTTTTATTTTTTCTTTAAAACATTTAAATTTGGGTTTTTTTTTCTAATTAAAAAATTGTTTTCAAATCAAGCAAATATTTCATTCATTCATTCAAAATAAAAAAAAATTCTGTTGATTCAAAGAAATATTTTTTTATTCAAATAAAAATTTTTTTAATTCAAATAAATAAATATTTTATTAAAAAAAAACTTTTAAGTATATTTTCTATTCTTATTTCGTATAAAAATTTACCTATGAAAAAGTACAGTAAACTTTAAGGAAAATTTAAATTATTTTTTAAATTTAATCTAAAAAAATAATTTATTTGATAGGGAAAAATTGACAATTAATTGAGTTCAACTATATTTTTTTTTATTAAAACCAAATACATAATTTATTTGAATAAAATAAAAAAATATTTGTCTTAGAGTTAAAAAAACAACTATTTATTTGTTTTAAATAAAATTTTTATTTAAAAAAAAAAATTTATTTAAACCAATAATATTTTTTTTGAGAAATAAATTGCTTTTTCATATAATTTATATTAATTATTATTGGACAATAATTGTCAGTACTTTTTGGAAAATAATATTAAAATGCATCAGTAAAAAAAAATAATATAGGAAAGAAATAGATCAACCATAATTTATATAAACGTTAAGTTTCCTCAAGGAACAGTTCCGCTTTCTTAATTCTATTGTTGACATTAAACGTCGTCATTTGTTTTTCATATCATCTCTGTTCTTTTCCAGTAAAATGATGATTTTCCCATTTTTGCGACGAAACTGGTTTCGTCGGATAAGGCTAGAACCGTTGGTTATAGAATGCCTGGATTATCGAACCAATCAGATTCGATGCTTTGTTTAAAAATTGTCAGCTATCACAATCAACAAGTGACGTTCTTGCGAAAAATTTTTTTTTTCTTTTTTTAATTAAATTCAAACATTTTTCCGTTTTAGAAAATTTTTATGAAAAAAATTCATTAGAAAATGCTGCTAATTGTAAAAGTTTATAATAATTTTGTAAACGTGTGTGGATAGAAATATTTTTGTATATTTTTGTATTTAAATAATTTTTATAATTAAAAAAAAATTATTTTGAATTATTAAAAAATTTTTTTTTATTACAATTAATTACAAGATCTTGAGAAATATAAAATGACTAATTTTTTTACAATAAATTTTATCAAATCTGAAAAGTATAAAAAAGAAATAAAAAATATTTGGATTTATACTTCCTTGTTGTTGTTTTTTTTTTGTACTTTTATATAATGAGATTGTTCATTTTTAAAAATTTTTCTGAAAAAGAAAATAACTTTTGTTTACTAGACTTGGGAATTTTTTAATAATTTAATAAAAGTACTTTGTACGAATTGGTCTTTACTTTAGAATTAAATAAATAAATTAATTTTGTATTTGAAAGAACAATTTTAATTTTTCATGAAAATTTAAGTTTTTGTGCCAATTTAAAACGAAACTTATTTTTTATTGTCCGTTTTTTGAAATTAAAATTGTACTGCTAGTTCATTAAAAGTAAAAAGCAAATTTTAAATTTAATGAATAATTTAGCAAACATTTAATATTTTAAAAAGTTGAACTACTTTTTGAAAAATATCTCCATTTTTACAAATAATTATAAAAATGATTTAGTAAAATTTTATCATTGATAATAGAATTTTTATTTATTAATTTTTAAAAAATGTAAGTTTTATTTGTATGTACAAATAAATTTATGTAAATAAATAATTCAAAACATTTTCTTTATATAAATGTCCATTTACACTTAAAAACAAATAAAAAAATAGTAAATTATTAAATTTCCATTAAATTTGTTTTAAAAACGAAAATTTTTTAATTAAAATCATTAAATTTTGATATTTAATACAACAAAAAAATAAATAAAAAAATGATGAAACATTTCATCGAGAGATGTGTGAAAGCAATTTTTTTTTGCGCTTTGTATTGTGGACAAAAATAAACAATAAAATGACAAGAATATTGCTTTTATCATTTGCTGGGGGTAAAGATAATATTGTCATGAGATTGTTAATAGATTTACAAGTAAACAAAATCTGCGTTAGGGGCAAAATATCAGAATATCTCTCTTCGTTTAACTAGATAAGACTCGTTCTGCAAAGTATAGACTTGGGGCGAAAGAAAGTCGACTGATAATACTTATCACTCACATATAAATAGTGCCTTAAATAGTTACTTTTAAAGCAGAAGCGAACAATCTTTGCGAGAATCAAGACCTCTCTTGATTAAAAACGAGTTTTTTCATTTTTCTTCCTATTTTGTGATATTTTTCGTTTTCGTTTCTTTTCTATTTTTTCTTTTTTTTTTCATTTAAAAATTTATAAAGAGAAAAAAAATTAATTTTTTTCGCAAAATCTTCCCAAAGAGGAAAAAGTGTTTTTGTTAGTGTTGAATTTAATGTATGAGTGATAAAGACAGCACGAGAATTCCGTCCATTAATAAGGTACATTTTTTGGTTCTTTTTCTTTTTTCGTGAGTTTTTTTTTTTTTTTTTTAATCCGATGGACCAAAAATTAATTTTTTCGAAAAAAGTGTGTAGAATTTTTTTTTCGAGTTGTGAAATTTTTTAGTTTATAATTTTTTTTGGCCTTCACATTTGAAATTAAAAAAAAATTATAACTATAACTAAATTTTGAAAATTAATTGTTCGTTTAATTATTGAATAATGAATAATTTTATTGCATTTTTCGTTTTTTTCAACATTTTTTAAATTTATATTTTATTTGTAATTTTTGGAATATTTGTAAACAATATATTTCAATAATAATTAATTTTAATGATAATAAAATTTTTATTTATCTTTTTAATTTGGTTTTGTAAAAATAATAAAAAATTAATACAATTGATAAAAGTTTTTTAACATTATATTTATATAACATAAATTTTAAAAATTTAAAAACTTTAATTTATTATTTAATAACAATAATAATTATTATTATTAATTATAAATATTATCATAATATTTTTTTATATTAATTATTTATAATAATAAAATATTTATTAAAATAATAGTTAATTATTGATATATAAAAGTTTTAATATATTTTATGTACTTTATTTCGAACAAATTTTTTTTTTAATGATAATAATAAATTCCTTTTGATTAGTACGGACAAAACCTGATTTATCAAAAACTTATTAAACGTCATTAAAATATAAAACCTGAAAGATAACTAGAAAAAATTGATAATTTTTTTTTTTTTTGATAAAAAAATAAAAAATATTTAATAAATTATAAATTTAAAAAAATTTGTTAAGAATTTTAATATGTAAGAAGGATAATGCATTTTAAATGTTAAAAACTAAATTTTTCTTTAAAATAATAATTTACAATTATTAAGTTTTAAACATATAAGAAATTATAAATTTAAAAATATAAGATAAAGTTTGAAGTGAATTTTAAAAACAAAAATTTAATTTTATATAAAAAAAAATATTTGATTTGAAGTTTCTAAAATTTAATTAAAAATAATAAGAAAAGGTGATATTTGTTATTTTTTTCTATAACTGCAATGAAATTGGCTCACAAAATTGTTTCGGGAAAATTTTATTTTATATATAAATCAAAAAAAAAAAAAATGTAATACTTAAAAATAAAAATTTTAGAACCAACAATGGAATTTTGGTTTTTGAACATCGAATTTTGAAATACTAAATGACGTTGAGATTATTATTAACAAAGTTAGATTATGATTTATTTAGCTCAACTCATAAGAAATGATTTTTAAATATAGTAATTTTGATTTATTACTGCATTGCAACTTAGTTTGTTAGTCAAGAGATTATTAATTAATTTCCATTGGCACCAAACAGTCTGCACTCAACATTATCAGTGCAAATGTAATAAGAATTGATAAGGCATGCCAAAAATGACAACAATTTGTTATAAATTAATGTTAAAATGTGATTTAAAACAAACAAAAAAAAATAGGGAAAATTGTATTTTTTTCCTTAAGGAAATTTTTCAAAGATTTTTTTTGTAAATAAATATTTGATATAATTGTATCTAAATATTGTAATTGGATAAATTTTTTTATTGTAATTTCTTTTTTTTTTGCATTTCAGGGTTCTATCTGCGATAGGCTGGTAGACCAGTCTGTTGTAGGATCTTTGGTTAATAGCGACAACTGGAAGTTGTCTTTGAACGCAGAGCCTCCTTGGCTTTGCTAGCATCCCCAACTGATTCTTTGTTTTAGCTCGCCTCCCCACGACTCTCACAATTCTCACTGACAGCTGCCTCGTAAGTATTGTTTTATAAAAAAAAAATCGCCCTTTTTAAAAATTTTTTTTATTTTCATTTCTGAACTGATGATTTTGTTATAATTCATTAACAATTTAAAATCCAATTATTTAAAAAGTTAAATTAAAAATTCTATTTTTTAAATTTTAATTCTCTACTTTTTTTATGTTTCATACACTAGAGAGATATATTTTTTTTCATAAAGAATTTTAAACTGTTCTCGCATAATCAAAACGGAGATGCATGAATAAGTTCTAAAATTAATTTCTTAAATTTTTCATTTGACAGAATTTCATTTCATTTCTTCAATTTATTATTCAACAGAGATTCCATTTATCCGAATTTCTGTATTACAAAATTGTTACTTAAACGAATTTTCATTTTACAAAATTTTTATTTTTCATCGAATTTGAATTTGACAGAATTATTATTTGCTGAAAAAATTATACAGAATAGTCATTTAAAAGAATTTTTATTTTACAGAAAGAATTTTTTTCTAGACGAATTTTTATTTGTTTGAATTTGACAGAATTTTTTAAAAACCAAATTTTTATTTTACAAAATTTTTTTTCAATTATGTATTTGGCAGAAAAATTAGGGCTTTAATTTAAAAATTAACGAACCAAAAATTATCAATGAAATTATAATTGGTTAGATAATATAAAAATTCGGTTAAATGGAATAATAATTTTTGTTAAACAATAATTTGAAGAAGTAAAAATTCTAGGAAGTGAAATTCTATCAAATGAAAAATCTAACTAATAAATTTTGGAGCTTATTCATACGTCTCTCAAAATCACAATACTGAAATTTTTTCAATTTTTTTTTCAAAATTAAGCAATAAAAATAGGGATTGAATTTATAAAATAATCGATTTTGAAAATGAGTTTACAAAAAAAAAAAAATTGAATTAGAAAATTTTTAATTTTTAAAAATAATTTAAATTGTAAATTAATTGAATTTAGAAAAAATGAATTTTCAAAAAAAAAATAGAATCTGATAAACAATCATAACAAAACTTGGTTTAACTTTATATTTTCGAATTTTAAAATAAAATAATAATTTAGACTTGTAAATTATTACAGTGCAAGTGAAGATAATTTAATTTTTAATATTGTTATACCATTAAAATTTGAATAAAAATTACAATTTTCTTAGAATAGGAAACGATTCAGATAACATAATCTAAAATTTAGCAACTGTTTCCTACTGTCAGAATTTTTCAATCCAAATGAATCTTTTAAATGACTTGAAATATTAAAAATAAAATTGTTCATTCTAAAATCATAATTTTTTTTTTTTTTTTTTTACTTTAAAACACTAAAATTTGATAAACTAATTTTATATTTTTGCTGTTCGTCCGATTCCTCCTTAAATCGAATTTTTTAACACAATCAAATTTTCTATTAATAATTAAATTTTTCAAATAATTTTATTTAGAAAATAACTTAATTTGATAAATAATTGAATGTAAAAATAAATTAATTGCCAAATAATTGTATTTTACAGAAAATGAATTTTTAAATACCTAATTGAATTAAAAATTGAATTTTAAAAAACAATTGTAATTTTTTATATAATATAATTGAATTTTATTGTTAATGAAAAATGAAGTAATAATGAGAACAATTTTTAAAGTTCTTTTGTTTACAAATATTTATTGAATTTCAAATAGAAATGATAATTATTTTAAAAAATATAAAAAACATTTTCAATTCTTTGGAACACAATTTCGAAGCCAATTAATTTTTTTTTTATTTCATTTTATATAAGTAACTTCAATTTAAAAAAAAAATATTTTTTTAATTTATGAGAAAATGGAGTTTTATTTCGATTTACAATGCGTTTAATGCCATTATTTTATAGAATTGATCGCAATATTAATTAAATGCACTATTATATAAATTTTTTCAAAGTATAATTTGTAAATTTAATGAGTACTTGAGGAAGTTAGATATTTTATAAAATTCACTTCTTTTTCTTTTCCTGGTCAATAATTTCATTTTATTGCAATAAAACAATTCCTTTATGAAAACAATTGAACAGTTTTATTTATTTATTTTTTGTACTTTAATTTTTTTTCCTTAAAAATATTTTGTATTTGTATTTGTCATTTAAATTATTATTATTATTATTTATTATTTTTTTTTGTTATATTATTTTTTGATTTAATTTTTTTTTTTATTGAATTTTATGAAATTTGAACATACAAATTTTTCAAAAAACTATAAGACAAACGTTTTGGAAGAAATTTTGATTTTGAAAATTTGTCCAAGAACTTTTTATACTTTTAGAGAATGTATTTGGAAAATTTTGTGTTTCAAATTAAAAAAAAATGTTTACGTTAAAATAATAATAATAATAATAATAATAAATTGTTATTAATTTTAATTTGCAGATTGCTGACTAGCTTCTATAGAGTTTTATTTTAATTATAATCAATCCCCCCAAAAAGCGTTTTATCATCATGAAGGTAACAAATTTGGATGAGCGCATTCATGTGCTGGACAATTCCTCAAATGTATTGAGTGTCATTAAAAAAATCGCCAACAGCGGCGTTCAAGAAGAAGCTTTCTACATTTTTGACGTTGGCGATATTGTTCGCAAACATCAAATTTGGAAAGAAAAATTACCTCGTGTCGAACCCTATTATGCTGTCAAGTGTAACGATAATGTCACTGTTTTGGAAGTTCTTGCTGCCCTTGGTACTGGCTTCGATTGTGCTTCAAAAGTATGTTTTCATTTTTGGTATATATTTTTTTTTGTGACGCATGATTATGTTCTAAACAATCATTAATTAGAATTTTCATTTAATGGAATTTCATTTGTCATAATTATTTTCGAGTTGAATTTTTATTTCTTCGAATTAGTATTTTGCGCAAAATTTTCATCAAAACGATTTTCTATATTACAGAATTTTTTTATAACCGAAAATTCACTTCACAGAATTTTTATTTGTCCGAAATTTCAAATGGTCGAACAAACAATCGACAGAAAGATTTTGGCGCGATTTTTAAAATCAACCAATCACAATTTTATGGATAATTTTTGATTGGTTAATTTTAAAAATCGCACCGAAATCTTTCTGTCGATTGTGAAAATTGTGGAAAATTATAAATTATATCAAATAATAATTCGAACAAATGAAAATTCATCTGAAAGAAAATTCTACCCAATAAAAATTCTTTAAAATGCCTATTATGTTAAATGAAAATTCGAGCAAATAAAAATTCTGTCAAATAAAAATTCTGTGAAGTGAATTTTTGGTTATATACAAATTTTGTAATATAAAAAATTGTTTTGATAAAAATTCTACAAAATACTAATTTGAACAATTAAAAATCCGGCTCGAAAATAATTTTGTCAAATGAAAATTCTAACTAATGATTTTTAGAACATAATTATGCGTCCCTTTTTTTTTTTTTTTTTTCTTTCCTACAGATTCTTTTTTTTAAAGTACAGTAGAACCCACATTTATCGGATTTGAAGGGATCAAAAAAAAATCCGATATAAGCGAAATAATTATAATAGTAATATAATAATTATAATTATAAAATTAATACATTAAAAATAATAATAATTATTATTATTATTAATTATCCGAAATATATTGATATATCCGAATAGGTTTATATTTTTTTAAATCCAAGGGACCGGAATAAATATCCGTTGTAGGCGGAAATCTGATTTTTGCTGGTTTTACTGTACTAAATAATTATGGGAAGTTGTTTTTTTTTTCTTTAACTAAAAATTTCTAAATTTTGTATTTTTTTCAGGCTGAAATAAACAAAGTTCTTAATATGGGTGTAAATCCCTCTAAAATTATTTTCGCTAATCCGGCTAAACCAGCTTCTCACCTACGTTATTCTTCGTCAGTTGGTGTTGATATTATGACTGTTGATAATGAAAGTGAATTGTACAAGATCAAATCTCTTCATCCTACAGCTAAGGTAAATTAATTATCTCATTATTATATAATAAACGATCGTAAATTGAATTAATATTAGTGAATTTACTATATGGCTGAAAAATGGGTTAAAATTTCATGTTATTTGAAGAAAATTGACAAAAGGGGAGATTTTTGGTATCACTAAAATTGAATTTGACAGTAGATTAAAATTTGTTTTCAAAATTCTTTGGTTTAAAGAAAAGAAAAAATGACAAAATTAAATTAAATTTTCGATTTTTCTTTCTCTTTAATTATTGTATTTTTTTAAATTTTTTAAAATTCTCGTGTTTTTCATTTTTTTACTTCAAATTCTCATTTTTTTTTGGAAATTCTTAAAATTTTTTACTTTTTTAATTTCTTTGAACATTTGTTTTTTAAAATTTTTAATTTCATTTTAATCCTCTAAAAATGAAACTTATTTTTTTTTCTTTATCAATTTTTTCCTTAAATTCTCTTTTTATTTTTGGAATTCTTAAAATTTATTTATCAAGATATTGATACTAAACCAGAAAACAAAAAAGCTAAACTACTCGCAGAGATATTTATAAAACAATTATTGTTTTATATTTTTTTTTTGAGATGCATTATTTAAAGATCACACCATTATATTTCGAACAAAGTCGTTGCAAACTAATTTAAAAAAGAATCTGATACTTTCAGAAATTATTTTGTATAATATCTATATATGAAACGAAATAAAAACAATTATGTTACAATTTTTATCATTTCTCTTAAAATATTAGTTTCGTTTTTTAGATAGCAAAAAGAATTATTTCGGAAATAATCAATTTTTTTTAATCAAAACCCAACGACTTTATTCGAAATATAACTGTCCGATTCTAATGTTGCAATATATCAACTACACTGAAAAAAAAAAATTATATGGTCCTCAAGTTTTGAACGTTCAGATAAACGAAAAATTTATTTACTAGATTTTAAATTTCAAATTTTCATAAAATATTGCTTTCTGTTTTCAAAAATAAAATAATAATTTATTAAATATTTAATAATGTACTTTTTCTATTATCCATTGCTGTGGTAATTTTTTTAAAAATTATAGACCAAAAAACTTGATTTTGTTCATTTGAACGTTCAGAATTTAAGGCAAATAAAATTTATTTGATTCAAGTAATTGGTTACTTGACTGTTAAGAAATAAATAATTATTTCTATTAAATAATTTTTATTTGAGTCAAGTAAATGATATTTGTTTTAAATACAGAAATTATTGATTCAAATAAATTTTCTTTTCAGTGTACAAAAAAAGATTTTATATTTATAATATTTTGGTTTTTTTTAAAAAAGTTTAATGGAAATTTTCTTTATAAATAATAATAATAATAATAATAATAATTCGTTTAAACAAGTTCAAAAACAGAATTTTCAATAGTAATTAATTTTTAGATTATTAATGACAATTAAAGTGAAGTACAATTATAATTATCATAGTTCGAATGAACTTAATTGATGATATATTTCAAAAATTGATGGTATCTCTTCAATACTACGTAATAATCACTAAAATTTATAGCCATAATTTGAAAACATTTAGACAATAATATTTACATTCAAAACAATGATAATTTTAATTCTTTTAGATCGTTCATTTTGATGGATATTTTTTTATTATCATTCTATATTTTATAAATTAAAAAAAAAATTGTTTTTTTTTTTTTTTTGGTAGGCAGTCAAAGTTTAGAAAAAAAAGCCAAAGAAGAAGAAAATTTAACGAATAAGATAACTAACGATTGTATTAATTATAAATGACTGTTTTTTCAAAAAAAAAAAAAATGTTTTCTTTTTAGCTCGTGATTCGCATTCGTTGCGATGCGGAGGTTGCTCTATGTCCTTTGGGTATTAAATTTGGTTGCGATGCAGTTACTGAAGCGCCAAATTTAATTCGTTTATCGCGCACATTGGATTTAGATGTTGTGGGCATTAGTTTTCACGTTGGCTCAGGTTGTCAGGATCCACCGGTTTATTTGCGTGCAATTCGATTGGCTCGTGAACTTTTTGATTTTGCCAAGGATATGGGTTTCAAGCCATATTTACTTGATATTGGCGGTGGATATCCAGGTGACAGGAATAGTAGCATTGATAAAATGGCTGATACCATTAATCAAGGAATAGACGAATGTTTCGATAGTAAGTATTTTCTTTTTCTTTACAATTTATGGGACGCATGATTATGTTTTAAAAATTATTAATTAGAATTTTTATTTCATGGAATTTCATTTGTCATAATTATTTTTGAGCCGAATTTTTATTTGTTCAAATTAGTATTTTGCGGAATTTTTATATACCCGAAAATTCACTTCACAGAATTTTTATAAATGAAAATTCTAACTAATGATTTTTAGAACATAATCATTTAATTACTATTTTATTATCTCTTTGTTTTAACGATGCTGAAATCCACCAACGATTAGAAAAAACAAAATTTTTTTTTTCAGACGGAAAATTATGAAAATTTTTATCTAAAAATATTGTTTTCAAATTTTTTGATCAATAAAACAAGAAAAATATCTTTGAGACGAAAATTCATAAAATATATATATTATTCTTTAAAAATTGTTGATTTTTAACTTCAGCATTGTTTTAATTAATTATCTTCTTTTTCTGAAAATCATCACTAAAAATCTCTTTTTGATCTTCAAAAAAATTAATTAAATTGCAGCGGATGACGTGAAAATTATCGCTGAACCAGGACGATTTTTTGTGGCATCTGCATTTACACTCGCAGCAAGCATTCACAGTAAACGATCAGTTCGAGGAGACAAAACAAGCCCACATACAACTACGCATAATATGTATTACATTAATGATGGTGTTTATGGATCTTTCAATTGTTTGCTCTATGATCATCAAACTGTGACGCCTTTGCCACTGAAGGTATTTTTTCATTCTTTATTATCTAATTTAATTTAATTTGAAATTATTTTCTAGAAAATATACGTATTTTGTAAACAAATAACAATTATATTTTTTATTTTAGAATGGATCGGGAAAAATGATACCGTCTAGCATTTGGGGACCGACTTGCGATGGATTAGATCAAGTTGTCGAACATGTACTTCTACATGAAATGGAACTTGGTGATTGGTTTATTTTTGAAAATATGGGTGCTTACACTTTGCCAGTGGCTTCAACTTTCAATGGATTTCCCGTTCCGAAAGTTCATATAATTGCTGAAAATCATATCTGGTAAGTTGAAAAATTATTGAAATTTATTATATAAAAAAAAAAAAAAAAACAGTTTTATGCAAATTTTCAAACAAAAAAATGATTCATTTGGCAAATTTTGGCTTTGATCAAATTTTCATTTCATCGAATCATTATTCAAAATAATTTCTTTCAGGACAAATTTTTCATTTATGAGAATTTTTATTTATTATTCTTAAATAATTATTTGACAAAAAAAAATCTTTTTTTGAACATTATTTTTATTGAACCAAATTCAAATTTTATTCATATTTTCATTAACCGAATTTTCACATGACGAAATTTTCTTTTGAAAGAATTATTATTTCTTTAATCAAAATTGCATTTCACAAAAACAGACATTTAAACGAATTTTAAATTGACAACATTTTATTTTACTAAGTTTTTATTGAGACAAATTTACATTTAAACTAATTTCAATTTAACAAAATTTTCATTTTATCCAATTTTTATTTGATAGAATTTTCTTTTACATTTTCTTTTAGATTTTTCATGAACGAATATTTATTGAATGAAATTTTTAATCATAGACAAATTTTTATTTAATTGAATTTAATTTTCTTTGGAAAAAACTTTTCATTTAAATGAATTGTTGTTCGATGAAATTTTTCATTTGAACGAATTTTTATTTGATAAATTTTGCCTTTGAATAAATTTTAATTCCATGAAATTTTCAGTTGATCGAATTATTATTTTACAAAAGTTTTTTCTTTAGAACGAAATTTAATTTGACAAATTTTGCATTTACGTGAATTTTTATTTATTATTTCTTAAATAGTTAGTTGACAAAAAAAATTTTTTGATCTATTTCTTATTGAACCAAATTTAACTGTTATATATATTTCACTGTCCGACAATGATTTTGCCCCTCGGATAATTCCGGTCACTTTCGATAGATTTTTACACGCTGATTACGAATCTGCAAATAAAAATGCTCTAGTACGTCCAGTTTCTGAGAAAATTAGTGTTAAAAAGTCGAAAATGCGTGTTTTTGGCCATATTTGAATTTGAATAAAATAAAAACAAGAGGTGCTAGAATCTTGTTCTTGGGTTCAAATGAAAGCTTGAAACTTAAACAACAATTCCATGAAGGGAAAAATTAAAGGCATAATGATAAGGCTGTTAAAACTTATTTTTTCATTTGCGATTAATTTTGTCATTTTTCATAATCAACGAACACCGTGTATAACCTTAATAGTTTAAAACAAGTGACAAACAAGTGAATGAAACATCATTCGAATTTGAAAATTTTTCACGTGACTTTCAGGTTACTTATTATCTATTAATTTTTAAACTTACCTTCTTTAAACCATATTTAAATAAGATAATGTTCACTATACAGTTTTTTGAAGACTTCTGCAGAACGCTGGGCCGAATTGTTTTTATTAACAAAATACAGTAATAAATAATTAACTTTCAATTATTACATATAGGTTAAATTAATATTTAAATAAAAATTTAAAAATTTTATAAAAAATGTTTTTGTTAATCAAAAATTTTAATTAATTTTATTTTTCGGATATATTTTTATTTTAATTTCATTTATTTGAAAATTCAGATATATAAATGAAGATTACAAAGAGCAATAAATAAATGGAAATATGGCTAAATGAGGTTTATTTAGCAATCCAAATGTAGACAAACTTTTCTCGTCTTTCTAAATTTTATAAATGTTTTTTCAGACAATAATAATTTTAATTGTAAATTTACAATTGTAAATAACGAATAAATTAAAAATTTAAATACACAAACTTTGAAAATTAAAACCAGAAAAAAATTGCAAAATTAACAAAATTAAACTGATTTTAAATAATAATATCTTTAAAGTGTGAATTTTAAAAATATGAATATTAAAAATTCAAAGACATCTTTTGAAAATTTTTTAAGATATATTTTGAAATTTTTTATCTATCGTATAGAATTTTAAATATTGTATTTGTGTATTTTATGTTAAATGAAACTTATGTTAACTTTATGTTAATTATATAAACTTTTTTAGGTGTATTGTGAAATTTTGTTATTTGTGATAATTATTTATTATTTATTAAAGTTTGTGTGTTTATACTCGTCACGATTGACGAAAATAGTTAATAGAAAATTAATTAGATAATAAGTAACCTGAAAGTCAACTGAAAAATTTTCAAATTCGAATGATGTTTCATTCACTTGCTTGTCACTTGTTTCAAAATGTTAGGGTTATATACAGTGTTCGTTGAATATGAAAAATGACAAAATTAATCGCAAATGAAAAAATAAGTTTTAACAGCCTTATCATTATGCCTTTAATTTTTCCCTTCATGGAATTGTTGTTTAAGTTTCAAGCTTTCATTTGAACCCAAGAACAAGATTCTAGCACCTCTTGTTTTTATTTTATTCAAATTCAAATATGGCCAAAAACACGCATTTTCGACTTTTTAACACTAATTTTCTCAGAAACTGGACGTGCTAGAGCATTTTTATTTGCAGATTCGTAATCAGCGTGTAAAAATCTATCGAAAGTGACCGGAATTATCCGAGGGGCAGAAAAAAAAATCATTTTTGTCGGACAGTGTTTTCATTAACCAAATTTTTATATGACGAAACTTTCTTTTGAAAAATTATTTATTAACCAAAATTGCATTTCATAAAAACAGTCATTTAACCGATTTTTAATTTAACGAAAAATTTTTTCAAACCAGCTTTAATTGAACCAAATTTCCATTTAAATAAATTTTAGTTTAACCAAATTTACATTTAACTAAATTGTTATTTGATAAAAATTTTCTTTACATTTTCTTTGAAAAGAATTTACATTGAATCAAATTTTAATCCTCGACAAATTTTCTTTTGTTCAAATTATTATTTGATAGATTTTTTCTTTTACATTTGTCCAAACTTTAATTTACAGAAAATTTGCATTTAAAGGAATTATTTCTTGAAATTTTCTTGTGAACAAATTTTGCCTTTGAACAAATTTTAATTCGACAAATTTTACGAGAATTTTTATTTATTATTCTTGAATTATTATTTGACAAAACATTTTTTTTTTTTTTGACGATTTTTTATTGAACTAAATTTGAAATTGAACCAAATCGTCAAATCAATTTTTATAATGAAAGAATTTTTATTTTAATGAAATTAAAAATTCCTTTCATTTGAAATGCAATGTTTAATGCAAAAATTCAATTTTATTTTTCAGGCGTGGTTTAAAGAATAATTTACCAATAACTGAGGAACATTTTGTGATGGGTAATGTACCGGAAAATTTGAATTATGGCCTCGATATTGGAGGAAGTGACATGGTAACATGGGCAAATGCTAAAGTTGACATTTCATCAAATAATATTCTAATTGATTCTTCAAATACTTCGTCTTTCATTTATGATTACGTTGAAGTTGATCCATTGCAATAGCAATTTGACAATATTTTTAATTTGACAAATAATTTTTTTCTTTTTTTCTCTCTCAATCTCTCTCTTTATTGACTATGTGAAACAAAAATTATGATTGATAGAAATTTAGAAAGATTTTTCTTTTAAAAAATGATGAAATGTGAAAAATTCTACATTCAAAAAGAAAAACTTTTTTTAATTTTGTCTCGAAAGTAGTGAGTCTCGAATTAATTTTATTTCAGATCAAATTTTATTTAAAAAAAAATGATTATAAAGATTCCATATTGATGACATGAATTTATCGCTTAAATAATGTTGAAAAGAAAATAGTTTTTTTGTAGTTGAATTTTTTTTTTGTTTTAATATTTAAAATGTTGAATTGCTTATTTTAAAATCAATAGCAGGCCTTTTATTATGTAATTTTTTGTTTATTATAAATTATTTTATATTGTCGCTAATGATTTTTGGTAAAATATTTTGGGGGAGGAGAAGAATTTTCTTTTTGTTCGATTAATTTATTTTTATAGGGATCATATTACAAGTTTATTATTGTATTTTAAAATAATAGTTGATTTTAAAGTAATTGTAGAAGGAAAAATTTCAAGTATTCGCTTGAAAAACAAAAAAGAAATGCACAAATAGTAAATGTTTCTAAATTCTATACATATAGTATAAATGGTTCGACTCTGTAGAAATACTAGGAAACCCTTAAGGCATTGAGGCAGCTGTCATATATAAACAAAAAAGATAATTAGATTTTTAGTCGTTAATTTTAAATTATTACCTTGATTGTATTATAAATAAATAAATATATATATATATATATGTCTGCTATAACTGTTAATTAATAATTGTAACATTTGTGTAATGAATTGCATTAAATCAATAAATTTGATCTCCAAATGTACAAACAAAAAATTTTCTTCTAAAATTATTTATTTTCCCAAAATATTTTTAGTAAACATTTTTTTATTTACTTAAAATAATTTAAATTTCTACCAGTGCAATGATAAATAAGTAAAATTATGAATTTTGTAAATTATTTTTTCAGTTATTTTAAAATTATCTTTTTTCTTTTCTCTCTTTATAAAATTAAATAAATAGGGACTTTTTAAAAATATATATATAATATATCGATGCAATTATAATGATATAAGTCGCGATTGTGATGATTCAGTGATTATACTGATTGTGCAAATTATTTCAGCTTTCCAAGTTTTCAAGTCTATTTAACATTTTATTTATGTAATACAATCGGAAATTTTGATATCAGAGAAAATTGTCATCATCAATGATTACAATCAAGAAGCAGAACTGATAAATTTATTTTTTTAGCGTTTGTGCAACAACTGGTGTTCTAAATTTGAAAGGCGCAATCATGCGTCTCAGCGACAAGAAAGTGCAAATACTTAAATGGAAAAGAGTGAAATGATATATTTTTTTTTTTCCCTAGATGATGTTAATTCACGCATGACTTTTTTTAAAATTTAGAAATTTTTCAAACATTAAAATTACACGTACAATTTTATTTTTATACTTTCAATGTACATACATTTTTAAATAATTTATTTTTAAAATTGTTTTTCTTTATTAGTGAAAAAAATAAATAAATTTATTCTTGAAACAAGTTGACAAAAAATACATATTTTATACATAATTTTATATTTTAATATTAGAAAACTATACAAAAATAAAATATTCAAATATTTTCAATTTGGCTTAATATATGCGTTTTTTAAATCAATTACTGAAATATTAAATCTAATGCATAATTTATAAATATTTCTTTAAAATTTTAATGTTGAATATTTTTGAAAAAATGTATATAGGTAAAATTATTTTTAAAAATAAAATTATATTTTGTAAAAAAAAATGTTTTGTTAAGTAAATTTTGTATCTTTAAAAAAATTCGAATTTAAAAAAATTATTTTTTTTTTGTTTTTTTGTTACTCGGGAGTTTTTGGAGTATCAGATTTTCAAAATTCAAAATGTCCCCAAAAGACCCTATAGAAATATAATTTCATGTTAATTTATCAATTTAAAAAAAAAAAAAAATTCCTCTACTACATATAAAATTTTGTCATATTTTTAGAAAGATTAGAAGAAAAAAATTATGACGCGTGAAGAACTAAATTCTGCTTTCAGATTCGTGTTCAGCGCATAAAAAAATTTAAATTTTCTACGAATAATGACGCAATTCAAAATTTCCGCGCGTGCAAATTAAAGATATTGAATTTATAAAATCATACTGATAATATTTGCAAATTATTTCAATTTTTTTTAATTATTAGATTAGTTCTAATGAGTCGTCATTTTCTGAGAGAAAGATAACGACAGGGAAGTAATATTTTATTATCAGAAACGTTATTGTGATAAGATATGACAAAAATTTACACGTATTTAATGTACTCCATTTTCGTATTTGCATTGAGTATATCGAAGATCTTAAGTAAATCTCACACTGATTGATATAATTTATAATCAATGTGTATATTTATTTTATAATAATTGATTGTACATACCTATATAAATGAGGAACATGGAATAAAAAAATTATGTGAGATGAGAAAATCACTTTTTTTAATATATTAAAAAAAGAAAAAAAGGAAAAAGTTTGCATTATCATTTGAGAAAAGTGAATTTTGTTTTTCTTCAATTATTTTATACAATTTTTAATTGATTCCAATTTATATTAAGGGGAGTGCTGAAATTTTAACTTTTCGAAATTAAGACTGTTTAGGGTTGACAATTTTTTTTTCTGACAATATTGAGTATTTACAAGTGTAATATACTATAGGAAATTGAAAAACAATTCATTCATTAATAATTTTTTAAATAAAACTCGAAATTTTCAAAAACTAAAAATTTAAACTTCTGTCGCAATTTTTATTATTTTTTATTGCTAATTTTTTTTTGCTCCGAGTTTCTTGAAACTTTTTATTTTTTTTTCTTTTAGTACTAATTGAGACTAGCTTTCATAATTTTTTTTTACAAAAAAAAAATCAAAATTAAATTTGACAATTTTGTTTGTGGTGATAGATACGATTGTTTTTATTTTTAATTTTTTTTTTTAAACGAAAGCTGACATTTTTTAGATAGAAATAGATTGATAAAAATAGATTTATGATAAAAAATTTTAGATAAATAGAAAGATGGATCTAGAATGTATAAAAATTAGTGATATATAATATTGTCCAAATGGAAATATTTTTTTACGAAGAATTACCATCCCAATTATCCAAGTTTGAGCATGATTGGAGAAAAATTTGATATTTTATTATATTTGTTTTTATATTAATTTTTTTATTTTAATTTTTATTTTATTACCTCCATGAAGTTGGCGTCGATGCTCAGCGCCGAAAATTGTTTTTCACAGGACCAAAAGTATGAAATTATTTTTTTTTAAGATTTTCAATCCAAATAATGCCTTGAGAAATACTTTTCAAGATATTATGTGGTCCCAAAATCTTATTAAAAATCATTTGATACTAGCAAATTAAACGCGCCAAATTGAGTATTTAATTGTTTGTTATAAAGAAATTAAAGATTAATATTATCAATAATAATTTAATTTATTAGAATATTATTACATATTAAATGATAATAATGAAAATTATATATGTTTACAGGCCTCGGATTATACGACTTTTTCCGAATTTTTTCAAAAATACGACTTTTATCGACTTATTTTAATAAAATGCGACATTTTTTTTACATTTGAAAAAAAATGTAAATAAAATACATTTTTTTTTAGTATAAAAGGTAGATCTTCTTCAGATCTTCTTCAATTCAATTATTTAACAAATTTTGAACTAAAATGATTCTTCAATAAATTAATTATTTTTAATAATTTTAATGAAATACATCACAAATTCAAAAAATATCAAAATTATTTTTCAATTAAAATTTTTATGAAATTTAACAATTGTTTATAATTAAAAAAAAATATATCACAATAAAATTGAATTATTTTTTAAAAATTTCAATTCAATATAAACTAAAATTCAATTATTACCCGAAATTTTAATTCAAAATCAATTAAAAATCCAATAATTATCAAAAATTTTCAATTTAAAATTTTATTATTTACCAAGTTTTTAATTTAAAATTAAATAAAATTCAATTATTTTCTAAAATTTCTATTCAAAATTAATTATCCAAATTTTCAATCAAAAATAAAATTAAATTAAATTATTATCCAAAATTGCAATTAAAATTCAATTATTTCCCAAAATTTTCAATTCAAAATGAACTGAAATTCAATTATTTTCCAAATTTAAAATCAAATAAAATTTCATTATTCTCAAAAATTTGAATTCAAAATTAATTGAATTTTCAATAAATTGAATTTAAAAGCATCTAAAATTTAATTATTTCTAAAATTTTCCATCGAAAATTTTTTTTTTGAAATTTAATAATTTCAATTATAACTCTAAGGAAATTCAATTATTTTTAACTATTTTAATAATATTCTTTGAAAATTCAACTATCAAAAACCATTTTTCAATTAAAAATGATTTTCAAATTATTGTATTTTGTCCGCATTTTCTAATAAATTTTTAGTGAAATCATCTAAAATTTTAATTACAAAACACTTAAAGTTTCAATTAATTTCAAAAATCTCAATTTGAAATCTTTGAAAAATTAATTAAATTTAAAAAATGTTTTCCAAAAATTGTTTAATGAATTATTTTTAGTTCTGTAAAATTTAATAAATTGTTTGAAAATTAACAATATCTTTTGAAATTTAATTATTTCTAAAAATTTCAACTTTAACCCTTCGAAAAGGATTATTATTAAAAAAAAAATTTTTATTTAAAAATCTGTAAAATATTTTTGTTAAAATAAAAAACAAAATTCACTTTTTTTTTTAATATAAATCGACTAAAAAGACTTTTTGTGTCTTTAAGGCCAGGTCCAAGTGAGGCAGCGCCATCTACATTGAAACTAAAATTTTGGAAAATTTTCAACAGCCTTTTCTTGAAAACAAGAAGGTAAAATGCTTTTTCCTTTATGGATAATTGATTATTGGCAAGATATACACCAGCTAAAACTTTTTTTGAGTTAAAATAATAAAAAAAATTTCATGTCAATAAATTAAATATGAGCACTTTTTTTACAAAAACTATAACAGTACTTTCTCAGAAATTACAATCAAAAATGCAATTTCCATTTGGAAAATTAATAAACGCTAAAAAATACACGACCTAAGATTTACCAATCACGAAAATAACAAAAAAAAATTTTATTAAATATTTAACATATGGACACTGTTTTACTGATTGTGACAGCCCTTTGGTAGATTATGTATTTCAGGTGGTTAGCAACAGCGCCAATCTCCTCCTTTCGGCAAAACTGCGAAACGTCTGTTGACATATATAACCTGCCAAACGGCTGTCACAATGAGTAAAATATGTTATGTTAAAATACTTTTTTTTTTGTTATTTTCGTGATTGGTAAATCTCAGGTCGTGTATTTTTTAGCGTTTATTAATTTTCCAAATGGAAATTGCATTTTTGATTGTAATTTCTGAGAAAGTACTGTTACAGTTTTTGTGAAAAAAGTGCTGATATTTAATTTATTGACATGAAATTTTTTTTATTATTTTAACTCAAAAAAAGTTTTAGCTGGTGTATATCTTGCCAATAATCAATTATCCATAAAGGAAAAAGCATTTTACCTTCTTGTTTTCAAGAAAAGGCTGTTGAAAATTTTCCAAAATTTTAGTTTCAATGTAGATGGCGCTGCCTCACTTGGACCTGGCCTTAAGTTGATTCGAGGCCTGTGTTTTTATAATTAATATTTAATAGGTATTCGTTGGCCCCTGGTACCTTAAAAATAAATTTTTTTCAAATTACTATCTTGTACGAAATTTCCTGGCGCATCTTTTTTCTCATCATAAATTTTTTATATTTCTA